TTTTTCTTCTGTGTTCTGTTGTTCCTTTTCTGAGCAGGTTCTGATATTTTCTCTCAACGGGTAGTGACTCAGTGTTCAGTATGGAAGACGAGGAGCTCAGTAGGCGATTGGGTGATGTTCAGTTATCAGAGATAGAAGCTAATCTCATCCCTTTGGCCACGGACGATATTCAGAAAAGTAAAGATGAATGTGCCAAAAGTATTTTCGGGAAGGTCATTGGGCAACGCAAGGTTCATCTAATCGGTCTGAAAAGGGTTCTTTCCCAAATATGGCAAATCCAGGCCCCGATGACAATCAAAGAAATCAGCAGCAACTACTTCCAATTCATTTTCTCAAACCTAGAAGACAAAGTCAAAGTGCTGAAAGGAACGAATTGGCTAATTGGTAACCAATATCTAATCCTTAGAGACTGGTCTGAAAGCATCAATAGCCAACACGAAAGCTTCAAGGAATTGGAGATATGGGTTCAGGTGTGGAATGTCCCAATCCACTGGACGTCTACAGAAGTTGGACTCAAAATTGGGAAGGCTTTCAAAAGAGTCAAGAATGTAGTCATCCCCCAATATGGTCCACTAGCTGGGAAATGTCTAAGGATGCTAGTAACCATTGATATTGAGATGCCTATTTTCATATATGCATGCTTGCAACTGGAGGGCACCACGAAGATTGTTGAATTCAAGTATGAAAGGTTAGTGAACTTCTGTCATTATTGCGGGATCATTGGTCATTTGGACAAAAATTGTGAAAAACGGATGCAAGACATGGACACTGGAAACCTCAGAGAAGGAGCTTACGAGGACTGTCTTAAAGCTCATGACTACCCTCCCTTGGGACACAATCAACAGTCCAACTCAAACTCAGAATCTCCATCTCCCACTCCAAACCAAAAATCTAACACTCCTTCCCCCTTAGCTGTTAAGGTTAACCCCCTCAACACCAACCCAAACACAGACACCCCATCTTCATCCAACAATACCTGCAATCAGAACTCTACCAACCTTACCACACAAAATAAGCCCTGTAATCCTCCACTCTCCCCTGCATCTTTGATCCAACCTCTTTCACCAACCAAAAGCCAATCCTCCTCACCCATTACCCCTAACACTATCACTAAAATCATTCCTCACCCTTCTTCCCCCAGAACTGACAGCTCTCAACAAATAACCCCCATGGAAACCTTACCTCTCTACATCCCTGAAGAAAACACCCAGAACCTTCAAATAGTGACCTGTCCCCAACTTGTAGACATAAATCTGCAACCATCTCCAACCCCAACTCAATCCAATCCTAGTAAAAAATGGAAAAGGAAGCAAGTCTCCCCCAGCATAGGGGTTCAAAAAGCAATTTCCCAGGGCAGACTTATCAGAACCAAGAGACAGCTTACCATTCAGGAACCACAAGGCTTTTCCCAGAGTTTTTCCAAAGATGATAATCCCTCTCTAAACAAAAAGCATAAAAAATCTGATCTGCGGGTACAGGAGGCTAGCCCCAAATGGCCCCACCCTGAACAATGAAGACAACACTGTGGAATTGTAGAGGCCTGGGTGGGGCCTCTACAATTTCCCAGCTCAAGGAGTCATGGAGACTCCACCACCCCATTTTTGCTTTTCTCTCTGAAACCAAAAAATCAGAAAAAGTTATATATACTGTTTGTAAAAAGTTGGGCATTAGTGATAATTGGTCAGCTGTCAACCCAGTTGGTAGAAGTGGTGGGCTTTTGCTGCTTTGGAATTCTGATGTTCATATATTCCAAATAATCAAAATCTGAGTTTTGTCTGCAAGTGGAATATTGGGATGAAGCCATGAATCACACCTGCTTGGGAATTTTTGTCTATGCCAGCACTCAGCAGTCTGTTAGACATGAACAGTGGCAGTTTCTTCTGGAAGCTCAAAATCAGTGGGGTGACTACTGGTTTATAGGAGGAGATTGGAACGAGATTACCTGTCAAGAGGACAAACAAGGGGGCATTGCTAGATCTCTTTCTTCCTTCAGTGCCTTCAACAGATTTATTTCATTAATGGGTATGCAAGATATGGCTCTCCAAGGCCACAGGTTTACATGGGCAAACAACAGACAAGGAGAAGGATATGTGGAGGAACAACTAGACAGGATCTTTTGCTCTCTGGGATGGCTCTCCCTTTACCCTAACACAGTAGTCTGCAATGAATTTAAGAGCTCATCTGATCACAGCATGCTTCTCCTTAATTCCAATCCAGAAATCAAGCCTCAAAAGAAAAGGTTTTTCTTTGACCAAAGATGGATTCACAGAGAGGATGTCTCTGAAGTTGTCTCCAAAGCATGGAACCTTTATCAATCAGGCACACCTATGTTCTGCTTCCAAGAAAAGATCAAAGGGGTAAGGCTACATCTCCTGAAATGGAGCTGCAAGTTTAAAACTGAGTCTGCCAAAAAGATTGAGAGCTTGCACAGACAACTTGCTGAACTGAGATGGGAAGGAGGGTTGAGGGATTGGCACAGGTGGGATTCTATCCAAAAGGAGTTGAATAAATTGTACAAAGATGAAGAATAATTTTGGCAGCAAAAATCAAGAATCTCCTGGCTAAAACATGGAGACAAAAACACTAAGTTCTTCCATGCCCAGACTACCCACAGAAGAAGAAGGAACAAAATCACAAGACTTATTAATGATGACTCTACAGTCTGTGAATCCCAGGATGAAATATCCCAGTGCATTGAGGAGTTCTACAATAATCTTTTCTCTACCCAAGGTCCTTCTGGGTCTGATCCTGTGTTGGATGAAGTATCTCCTGTCATTACTGAAGCTATGAACACTGAACTCACTGCCAATGTTGATGAAGAAGACATTAGAGCTGCTCTCTTCTCTATCTCCCCTCAGAAAGCTCCTGGGCAAGATGGTATGACCTCTCTGTTCTTTCAACACTTTTGGGATATCATTAAGAATGACCTCTGTGCTCTTGTGTATAGCTTCTTCCAATCTGGTAAAATGCTTAAAAGTATCAATCACACTCTCATTTCCTTAATCCCTAAAGTGCAGAAACCTGATAGGATATCACAATATAGACCAATCAGTCTATGTAGTGTTACCTATAAGGTTATTTCCAAAATTTTGGCATCCAGATTAAAGCCTATTCTTCCTCTCTGTATCAATGATTCTCAGTCTGCATTCATTTCTAAGAGGAATATCCTTGACAATGTAATCCTAGCCCATGAAGTCACTCACTTTCTGAAAAACCATAGATCAGGAAACTCTTGTTACATGATGATAAAATTGGATATGTCTAAAGCTTTTGACAGGGTTGAATGGTCTTGTGTTAGGAACATCATGCTTAAGATTGGCTTTCATGACTCTTTTGTTAAGTGGATTTTGGCTTGCCTTAATTCTGCCTCCTTCTCATTTAATGTCAATGGTTCTATGTGTGGTTATGTTATTCTCTCTAGAGGAATCAGACAGGGAGACCCCTTGTCTCCCTACATTTTCTTGTTGGTATCTCAGATCCTCTCCTTAATTATTAACAGCCTTGTTGAATCAGGGGAATACAAAGGAATAAAAATCTGCAGAAACAGCCCCACCCTTACCCACATTATGTTTGCAGATGATACCCTCATCCTTTCCAAAGCTGACCCCTTCCAAGCACAACTCATTCTCAAAATTCTGAACCGATACAATGCCATCTCAGGGCAATGTGTCAACTTACAAAAATCCTCAGTCCTATTTAGCAAAAACACACCTCAGCCCCTCAGAGACAATATTTGCCAAATCCTTATGGGTATTCAGCCTCAAAGCTCATCCAAATACCTTGTCCTTCCCCTTGGGATAGGCAAATCAAAGCTTGACACCTTCTCCTATATTAACCAAGCAGTCCAAGGTAGATTATCAAAATGGCAAAACACATTCCTCTCTCTTGCAGGTAAGGAAATCCTCTTGAAGGCTGTCCTAGAAGCCTTTCCTATTTATGCAATGTCATGCTTCATGTTACCAAAAGCTACCTGTGAAAAACTGGCCAAGAGTTCTGCTGATTTCTGGTGGCAAAGCAAGAAACAAGGATCCCAGGGCATTCACTGGAAATCATGGAAACACATCACACTGCCCAAGTGCAAAGGTGGACTGGGATTCTATGACATCCATCTTATGAATAAAGCATTAATATCCAAACAACTCTGGAGGATTCATTCTCAACCTGAGCTACTGGTAAGCAAGGTCATCAAGGCTAAATACTTTCCCAACTCAACCATTCTTCTTGCTGAAGCTCAATCTAATTCCTCATGGCTCAGGGCAAGTTGGAGGAAAACCTTGGCATTCTTCAAGGATAATGTCTTCTTTACCCACACACAAGCCTAGCAGTTGCAATCCATGGAAGCACAACTTATCAAAGGTGCATGAGCTTTTAGATGATATAGGCAGGAGATGGAATGTTGACTTGATCCATCAGTGCTTCCCCCCAAATGAAAGTGCTGCCATCCTTAGTATACAAGGAATGGACCCTCTGCTAGAAGACAGACTCACTTGGGCCCACTGCAAATCTGGAGATCTCTCAGTTGCTGAAGTTTATAGAGTGCTAGTAGAGGAAAAATGGAATAAGCTGGATGTTCCAGAATGCAGCTTGATTTCAAAGGGGATGCAATCAGCCAGAAAGAGGATGTGGTCCTTGAAAATCACAGGGAAACTCAAACATTTCTTGTGGAGATGTTTCACACACACTCTCCCTGTCAACCTAAATCTCCACAAGAGAATTAAAGATATTGACCCTGTGTGCAAAATATGTGGTGTTGAGCCAGAGACTGTTGAACATCTTCTGTTCCATTGTCCTAAATCTCAAACAGTCTGGAAACTAGCTGCTATTGACTGGGAGGGCATCAAAGAGGACACTTCTGATTTTACACATTGGTGGATCAAGCTAAGCACACTCAAGAGAAATGCCATGGCTGAAAGAAGACTTCAACTGACTATCTTCCTCCTTTGGTGGATATGGAAGGCCCGCAACCAATGGGTTTTCCAAAACCACTGGCTCCCTGAATTCTCAATAGCTCAAACTGCTTTATCAGCTTGGCTAGAAGCTGATTTTTTGGCCAAGCCTTGATCCTGGGGCTGTGTTTTGGTTTTTGTTTTAGGGTTGCTGTCTGTTTCTTTCCCCTTGTTGTTTTAGCTTGTTTTGGATGTTGGTAGTGATAGGCTAGCTAGGTCCCTTGGTTCAGTGACTAGTCTATCTTTTGTGGATGCCTTTTGTATTAACATTACCATTTCATTAACCTATCTTGGTCTCCATGACTTCTGCTCATGACAGGTATAGGGTTCTGAAATGGATTTTTGTTCTTTTGGTTAGATCACCATTGTTGGTGCTTCTGTCATTCTGCCTCGTTGCAGCTCTTGTATATACTCTTTCTTTCATTGTTATAAAATCTATCGTTGTGAAAAAAAAAAAAAATATAGCCATCTTTTGTAAAAACATGAAATCTAGCCATTTGGCCTTTAGAAAAGACTTAACTGCCCTTACACACCATTTTCTTATTTTTCAATTTCCATTACATTTCCTAATTTTCCATCACAAAAAACCGGGAGTTCTGCTAACTCATTTTCATTTCCCTATTTCAAAAAATTTTACTCTCATTTCCCCATTTTCACGGTGCTATCTCATTCATCCCGGCGAGTAGAGTTCTGCTCATCTCTTCCAGCGGGTCACACGTCCTTCGAGTGCTGCTCTTCTCATTCCGGTGATTCACAATCCGCTGCTCGTCTCATTTCGGCGAGCAACAGTCCGCTGTTCTTCCCATTCCGACGAGTCGCAGCGGCTGCTCTTCCAATTCCGGCGAGTCAAAGCCGCTGCTCTTCCCTTTGCGGCGAGTCAAAGCCGCTGTTCTTCCCAAGGTGCGGTTCCTTAACTTCAAATTTTTAGGGTTTTTTAGGATTTTTGATAAAGGGTTTTTTAGGGATTTGAGGGAATTTGTTTTTGGATTAGGGAGTAGAATGTGACTGGAAATAAGTTAAAGCCTAAATTTGGGAATTTAGGGTTGTTGGTGGTGCAGACCGAACGAATAGAGCCAAGGAAAAAAAGGGAACCGGATGCCTCCGGGATCGGGCCGCTGCCGAACGGATGGGGGAGAATAAGCGAGATCTGTTTAATCATTACAAGAGCTAGTCATACTACGCGCATTAAATGCGGAGATACATAAAAATATCTTATCCGACGGCAAAGAAAAAATAGGGACGCGTGGCACGATCGGGACGACTCTCAGATATTGGGAATAGATTGTCAAGTACAATTAGCATTAAATGTTGAATGACTAATATCTAAAAATATCCTGTAAAAGGAAATGTAAAAAATCTCCAAGAGGGAAATGTAAAGTCCCTAAACTTCCTATAAAAGGGAGGGGAGGACATCATTTAATGTGATGAGTAAATGCTCTCATTAATTACTCTATAAGTCACGGATAACTTGAGCATTCAGACCAATAAATTAAACCGAATCACATACATAAATACTATTCGTGCAGACCAAACAGAGTACACATCTTAGTGTGCAGTTCAAACACATTGTTGGTCATTTTTAGACATCAACAATTGGCGCTAGAGGAAGGGCCATTCCAGCATGTCAAAGAAAACTTCATCATCATCAAGCCAAAGTCGCCGGCGAGACTCACCGAAAGAAAGGGAAGACCGGCGAAACAACCCAACTACGAGGACGGACTATTCAGCCTTTTTCAAAGACCCAAACTTTGTTAAGGGAATATCAAACCTGATAACGCAGATCCGACCCTCTACGTCTCAAGCACCCAAAACCCCAGCCAAAAAAGACCTTACCAACACCCTCAAAGGCAAGGAAACGAACGTTCGCGAAGAAACCACCCGGTCGCCTGGGAGCACGAAGGAAAAATCCCCCACCCGGACAGAAAATGAACAGACAGACGAAAGTCGCTCGGTCACGGACACTCGAACCCGAAACACCACCCGGTCGGTTTTCAAACGGCTGGGAAAAAACGTGGCCGACGGCGACTTGAGGAGAACATTGATCAGAAGGCGAACGACTCAAGCCGAAGAAGACGAAATGAAGAGCCTCCGAAGAAGAATAGCCAAACTCGAAGCTCGACGTTCGGCCCAAAAACGACTGGCTTCCACCAGACAGGACCTGACAGAAGTCCCTCTCAAACGAGCCACGACAACCTCAAGGGCACGAACGAAATCCAGCCCAGCCAAACCCGAATCACCCCTAACATTTGATATTTTGCAGGAACAGCTGCCCGAGAAGATCAAGATCCCGCAAATTGGATTTTATGACGGAACATCTGACC